TTTTAGGAAGGAAAAGCAACCTGGGACAGTGTTGGGAAAGAAATTTGTTTAGTGGGATTGTGCTGAGCCACTTTGTTCAGGTGTTGCTCCTCTGCCCGAGGATGTAAATAAAACATCTATACATCAAGGTCACCCACTGATCTGAGACAGATTATGCCCACTCCTCTTTCCTCACCTGAGGTCGAAAGAATGCAAAACAATAAAGTGGCCAGCTTGTCGGAAAACATGCTAGAAAATATGCAATCTTCTGCCTCTCAAACTTCACAAGCTTCAGTGAGAAGTCGCTTATTTGCTCACAATAACATGCCTTCCGCTGAGCTTTTATTGTGTTTTCCTTTCTGAGTCCTAAGCTCAGTATCTGTTTTTGTGAACGCATTTGTCCCAGGGCGCTGCCTTTGGCCAGAACGGAACGGAAGGGATGCTTGCAGGAAAGAGGAAATCGGACAGTGAATCTTGTGACTGTTTTGTGGAGGTGGATTTGTGCTGTAGCCCGAAGGATCACAGCCACGTTTGCCAAAACACAACATGAATCGGACCTAGTCTGACCTCTTACCTTGCATTTACAATTAAAGTCGGCAATTGGCTCCTCTTTGAGGGATTCTGCGGGTAGATTCCTGAACATGAAGCATCCGCAAAGCTCCCCAAAATTTACATTGCACATTAATCAACAACATCTAAGTCCAGATGTCTGATTTTCTCATTAGCCTGGCCTCAAAACATGTAACCACACAAAAGCACTTTGTGAAATGATAGAAATCTTCCCTCTGAATCACCAGCGAGGGCTAAACACGAGGCCGCCGCGTTCCCTCGAAGGTTCGAGCCAATGCCTGGAAACGCACTCACCGGTCACAAAGGCCCTTGTACAACCTGTGACAACAAAAACAAGAGCTCCATGTCTCGCGGTTACCCTTGTTTAGCTTGCAAAACAACTTCAACTCCAATAAGGGTTGAAATGATATCCGACGCTATCCGTCACAACTCAGGCTTTTCACCGGAACAGTTTTGTTTTTTTTTTTTAAAGTAGGACGTGGTGAAGAGGAGCTAATTAGTTGTCTAAACATTTACTGTTGGCCCCGTTGACTTTTGGCTACTTGCGACTTCTTGCGGCATCTTTGGTTCTTTTGCACCGCAGTGGCAGTTATTGTTGCTGTCGCCGTATTTTGAAAGCAAACAAACTTTTTTTGTGTGTGTGTGTGTGTGTGTGTGTGTGTGTGTGTGTGTGTGTGTGGGTTT